AGACTTTTTGACTTTTAAGCTAAAACTGTTACATTGAAAAAACTTTGCTAAAGATCAAAATCAACCTAAAAATACAAAATTTATAAGCTGCAACCAAAAGAGATCTTACTCTTACTATTCATATTATGTGATCAAAACCGCACTTGCACTAGTAAAAAGAATAATACTAAAAGGAAGAAGAAAAAGAGAGCATGCTGAAAGAGGGGGGGAGATTGCCTTTCTATACCTTATTATTCTTTGCCTAATGATAGCAATCTTCTCTATTGGAGTTGCAATATGGACACAAAAATCAATTGAATCGCCCATGTCTGGACTACGATAGTAGTTACTGATAGGCTTTGTAGAAAGAATGCTATTCGGATATATAATCTTTTGGTTGTCTAATCTCAAAAAAACGGTAGTCAAGATATTCATCTCTTCAACTACCATCTGAAAGTCAAGGCATAGTACATATCAAAAGTCGAAATTGAATAAAGGGAAATGTAAAAGAAAGGGCATAAGCACGATTTCAAACAAAATATGATTATCATACCTGAACTCCATCAATCTCACACTAATCACCTACATCATATGGGTGCATCACAAACAAAAAGACAATGGCTTCAAATACAGTCTTGTAAGAGTTTCCAAATATGAATGCCACAACGACGATCTGAGAGCTTATGAGGAATAGAAATCTGCTGGTAGCAATTCCTAGTATGAAGAGAGAAACAACCGCTATAATGATGACAACTAGTACATTCACCATATGATGAAGTTTGTTGACAGCGGTTTTTCTATCATTGAGTGTCAAGGCAAGCGCTCTTCGTTCTCTAAAAGCATTAACCTAAAAGAATCAGGCATAACACATTATCATATTTGCATGATAGTTGTAAGAGCAAACAATATGTAAACTGATGACAATATTCCTTGTTAATAAATAGATGAAACACTTTTACACAATTAATTAATCACAACAGTAAAACTATAAATAAAGAAGAAAATAATTTTATACAAATAAATGCACCATCTATTGCCAAGTTCTTACCACCCAGTTCTTCAGAGAAGACTGGCTTATTTTTTCACTTTCAGGTGAGCCTCCCAAAAGACTCATGGTCTTCAAAGCCTCATCTTCTAACATGAAACGCAGCACATCTTCTAGGTAGATGAACCTGCCAGAAAAAAAATATTCAAGATCCTCCATGATGTGGAACTAAATCTTCACTCAACAAAAGGACTTTGTCATACTAAAATTCACATCATCGGATAAGTTTTGCCAACATTAACAATTAATATTCTTCCAAAATTGCTATCAGAATTTGAACTTCTTCGTAACTCTAATTATGTGGCCCTTCTTATCATCCTTTATTGTCATTGGTTCATTCTTCAAAGTGGTCATTACTCTGAGAAAGCTTTAGTCAAGAAAACCCTTTTTTACATCTTTCAACAAATCAATTGTTAATACTATAACCTTCGGTGTTCTTTTGACAACGAACCGCACCATTATAAATGAACCAGAATCAATTTTAACCAGGATGGTCCTGATCATGGCAATAAGATATATTAGTAGTGCAAAAACATAATTGAAGAACTGATCGCAATGGTCAAGACCATGAATCATTGAATTATGGAGCTTTATAGCGTGTCAAGAATTATGTGCCATGGAGTAACCAAAAGAAAAGAAAGGTCAAGGGCAAGAAAACAAGAGAAACCCTAAAATCTCTTATCTCAATAGCATAGTCTGCGAAACCATTGCATAAAAGGCCTATTTATAGGCATCCACGGAAATTCTTATTAAAAGTTACAAAAAGTAAAGCTACAATTTTTAAAACATAATAAAACAATCAAACTTAATAAATATAAAGTAATGCAACCCCACTTGAATGGGAGCCTCTTGCATTGGGTCACACTTTTTTATCCAATTCCCTCATCCATCACTAACTAGAGAAAAGGACAGAAAACAAAAAAAGTTGCTATTCTTTCCATGAACATTTTTTGTGAGTTTGAGGAAATCATCAAACAAGAGTACCACTGTGGGCGACAGAGAGAGAAAAATAATATAGAGCATCACTCAGTTCTTTAAATGATGCAATCACCTTTATTTTATATACTGTGATGTTTGCAGGGTGCATTTCATACCTTCAACCATCAGCATGGTGTCTATGAAAAACTGACGATATGCATCTCGATCTCCTGTACGGAGCAAGGATAAAAGGGATCCAACTGTTTCAAAAATCACTCCATGCCGAGAGCTGAAACATATTATGTCAATTTTCCAACAACCAGTGATAAAAAAATAAAAAGATGCTGAAACATGTACTCAACAGAAAATGAAGAAAGAAATATGAAAAACAAGCAAGAATAGTATCAAAAACATTGTTTGTTTTGTAATAAAAAATTCAAACCACATATCTTTTTTTTATTTAAACACAGGCTAAAGATTTACAACTAATAGTCATTTGATAGTTGCTATTCACATAGCATTTTGTAACCATAAATTAACATCCAGCCATCCGCAATTAAAATATTGTTGAGAATATGTACAAAGGCCAACACACCCAACCACAGTGCCAAAAATGTAATAAATGCTGCTCGGAAGATATCAAAACTATCTCAGGTGTAATGCATCATCTGTTCATTCTTTTTTCTTATTGAGGAGGTTGAAACCTTAATTGCAAGAACTGGGTGCAGGGACAAGCGTGAGATGGCGAGGGCACATAGGAAACATATAAGGTTGGAAGCAACTTGGGGAGTGTTTATGTGGTTTATGTATAAATATACTGTAAGAATTTCTTTTCTTAGTTGGGGCATAATGTGCTGTCACTCTACAAAATATACAAAATCCATAACTTAAAAGTGGATACCTTAGGCCATCTGCAGTCCTTACTCAAATTTGAATAAAACATTGAGTTTCTTTTATATGAACCACTCCCAATAGGCAAACTTAGATTTAAGCATAAATTTGAGTAAAAACTTCACTAATGGCAGATTGATTAATTTAAAACTCACAAAATAGCGTAGAAATTTTTGAGTAAAGATTTGAGTCTCCCTTGATTTGGGTAAAAATTTGAGAAAAACTCAATTTGTTATAAATTTGGGTCAAGCAATGGAGGATGTTTTAAGTGACTTTTACCTACTCACTCACTTACTTGACTGCAATTGATGAGTTACCACCGCTTGTTCTCCACTCGGATCCAACTCGGACAATTCTCCCTTATTTTATTTTGAACCCCTATAAATTGAGATTTCCTTCTCCTTATACCCTAACAGTGGGAACAAAATTTATTTATTTATCAATAAGATGTGCACATCATATACATATTTATTTTAAGCCATTAGATTTTTACAAATTAATTTCAACCACCGAATAATTTGATTAGAAATCTTGAGTACCTTTTCAACCGGTTACGATTTTTACAAATTTCTTCATTGATTGTTTTCTTTTAGCTGAGCTTTTCACGTTGTTTTCCCAAAGCCCCCTTTGTTTTTGAGACCCCACTCTGACACTCTTCTTCGCCCTCAATGACCATCCCGCGAACACGACATGTCCTCAACTTCGCCTCAAGATATGTCTCTCTCTCTCTCTCTCTCTCTCTCTCTCTCTGTGTAACTTTTTTCTCTCCCCTTTTCTCCATCTCCATTCTATGAAACCCTAGACCGCAATCCCCTTCTTTGAAACTGCCTCTTTCACGTTTGTGAACTCATTGGGTTGGTTTATAAAATTAGGAAAATATTAGGTTTAGGTTTAGGGTTTTTTATGTTTGTTTGCTTTGGTAGTTGTTTTGATTCCCTTCTTTGAAATCCCCTTTTGTTAACCCCTATTTCCTGTATCGATTCTTGTTTTTCATTCTTCAAAATGTCCCTTTCACGTTTGTGAACTCACTTGTAGTGGTTGGATTCTAAATTTAGAAAAATATGATATGAATAGCTTTTGTTTGTAATGTTTGGAAACCAGTGTGTTTTGTTATGAGTTATAATATTTGAATTAAGTTTTGAAAACTCTTTCCAAAACTCATAACCAAACAAATTTTCTTACTTCACATATCAAATCAAACAAACAAAACTCGGTTTCACACTCAATTTAAAACTCAATTCAACACTCTATTCAAAAATCATAATTAAACAAATTTTCTACACTCAAATCATAATTTCAAAACACACAAACTCAAAATACAATTCATATTCTCAAATCGTAGTTAAAAAGTCTTATTGAACGGAGCCTCAATTTTTTTTTTACTTTCTAACCTTTTTACATAAAAAAAAAAATTCACAAAAAAAAAAAATCATAAAAGCCAGCTTTTTTAATATAAAAATTCACATAAAAAACTAAAAAACTAACTTTTTACCAACTTTCCAAAACACCACTCAATATTTGTCCATTTCACATGTAGATGGGATTGCAAAACAAAATAAATTATCCAAATTCAATCCGTGTTTGACTTATTAAAAATTTATTCGAGATCAAATTTTTATATGAATGAGTCAAACTTAAACACTTTTTAAAATATGTTTAATTTTTAAAACCAAGCTTAAATAAATTAATATTTAACTCGATAAACATATATGCATTATAAAAATCAAATTATTCAAATTTGGCTCATTAAAAAACTTATTCGAGATTTACTCATCATATAAATAAGTTGAGTTTAAATATATTTTAAAGTTCATTAATTTTCAAACAAAACTTAACCAACTTACTATTGGATTCGTTTGTAACATTGATGAATAAGTTTATAAATAAATGAAGAATCTAAACTACTAATTCACAAGAAAAAGTGCCAACGTGGCAAACATTGGCTATTCGGACTGAATGTCCAGGTCCGACCTGTCGAGGAGCTCAGCTATGAAAATAAATACAAAAGGATTGTTTAACAAAATATTTACTATACAAAGGGTTAAATAACAAAATTAACATGCACCATTCACACATCTTGTTGCTTGCCAAATATAGCTTCTCTAGTCACAAGCTCAATCCCCCTTACCCACAACTTAGCCACAACGTGGCAAACATTGGCTATTCGGACTGACTGTCCAGGTCCGACCTGTCGAGGAGCTCAGCTATTAAAATAAATACAAAAGGATTGTTTAACAAAATATTTACTATACAAAGGGTTAAATAACAAAATTAACATGCACCATTCACACATCTTGTTGCTTGCCAAATATAGCTTCTCTAGTCACAAGCTCAATCCCCCTTACCCACAACTTAGCCATTTCAATCCCACCATCACAAACAAAATGTACCTCCTTGTTCTTGGTAGTAACCACCCGAAACACTCCCGGTTCGCCACCGTCAAACTTCTTGCGGCGATTCCACCAAAATGTCGAACTGGGACCCACCTCAGCCCCCTTACATATCACATTTCTCTTGCTTGATTTCCCCCAACTCAAAAACCCAGAAACCCTTACCATCTTCAACACTTTACTATGGGGACATCCTTTCCCTTCCCTGGTGTGCTTCTTAACAAATGCCCCGTCCAACACAAGCTTTCGCGCAAGTTCGTCCAATATCACACGTTCCGCTTCATTTCCCACACCGTTTTTCCTTGCTAGCGCAAGCGCAGTTTCAAGTCTTGCATTCTCAATGTCACACATTGCCCCATTTAAGATTAGAAGTTCACAAACATTCCCATGACCTCCCTTCGCTGCTAACATGAGCGGAGTGTACCCATCAACGTCAACAACATTAACATCATAACCCGCCCTTGTTAACATACGAACAGACTCAATCTCACCACAACATGCTGCCCGATTCAGAGCATGAAATCCAGCAGAGTTGTACCTTCCATTAGTGAGTGCATATTCAAGAATAACTTTTTCGAAAACATCACTGTTCTTGTTTGATTCTGAAAGGGTAATCACAGTCTCACCATGTTTGTTGTGCAGGTTTAAGTTAGCACCAGCATACACAAGCAAACAAAAAGCCTCAACATGGCCAGATGCTGCAGCAATCATGGCTGCTGAGAACCCATTTCCATCCTGCTCATCCAGATCAATTTCTGACTTCTCAACAAGTTTTTTCAAGGCTTCAATGTCATTGGCTCGTGTGACAAACAATAAAGATGAAAAACTCGAGGCATTGCTAGAGTATGCGAATTTCCCACCTCGAATTAGTTCTAGAACTGCTTGTTCGAATACATGAGTCCACTGTGTGAATCCAGCAATTGATAGGGCACATTGACCCACTGAATCAACCAACCCAAAATCAGCACCGGCTGATGCCAGAAGTTTAAGACAATCTTCGTGCTTATATCTCGCAGAAATCATTAGTGCAGTCTCACCAGATTCTGTTTTGGAATTAAGATTACAACCACTGATGATTAAGTGTTGGAGAACTTTAGCTGAGCCAAGTCGCGCAGCCAAATGAATAGCCCGAAACTCTGTTTTCTCTGTCGTTTGAACTGGAAATTCTATGTCAGCGCCGCAAGTCAAAAGAACATCCATTGCCCTTGCATTGTTACATAAGATGGCATGGTGGATGACGGTTCTCCCAAGATGAGGGAGGTTAGGGGAGAGGTGTTGGAGGAGTGTGCGTAAGATAGAACCACTAGCTTCAAAGTACTCCACAGCACACCAAGTAACACGGTAAGGCTCAGCTAACCCTGCTCCTACCTTAAATTCTTCTCCTGTAGCCATGTCCCATGCCCAAGCTCCGAGCCTCACTTTGATGTTCATACTAACACCAGACTTATTTTGATTTTCAGAAAGTAAACATGTTAGATTAAAGTCATGCGATTAGGATAAACTAAGAATAGTTCTATTAAATAAATGAACAACAGCGACAATTAATCCAAAATGATTACCTGTAGCAGCAGTCTGACAATAGAGATCTGCCGACCGACAATGGCAGCAACAAGTGCATTACAGTCAACATTGGTATGTAGAGATGGCTTGGAAGACCTGAGTAGCACCCGAGCATTTGCATTGGGATCCACTCCACACTACCACATTTAAAAGCATACATGTCATTTGATCGATCAATTTGAAGAACAATGCTTATTAAAGGTAATATTGTAACCCAGTATATCGGTTCTAGTACAATGGTTCAGGGGTCCATGGGGTTACTTGTCAATGTGAGACTAAATTTTCACAAGTGCAGTAGAAATAGAAGTCCAATTGGTAGGCACTCAAGTCAAAAAGGTAATGAAGTACTTACAAAAATTAATTGGCCAATTTGGATTGTAACAGGAGGCTAATTTTTTATTGTTGGAACTTTTGGACAAATATGGCATATGTTGCTCAAAATCCGACCTATTTGGCGCAATAGTCAAGAATTTCAATTATTTTGTACACTCTATGCATACTATCCACAATTGGCAAATAATACCAAGGGGGCAATAAAATATAGTAAGCAGAATACAAAGAATTCCTAAAGAAAAAAAAGAAAGTGTAATTTCCAAAAATAACAAAATAAAATTCAAATTTAAAAGAACTTCAGTATGACGTCCAATTACAAAACCATGTGGGTCAGAACCTCAGGGCCTTTTTTTTTCTCAAGAGGTGATTTCGATAATCAACCAACCAACAAATTCGTAGCCCATGTGACACACAGCCTCCCTTTTGCCCAAATGAAATGGGATAAAACAAATCAATAAGCTTTTTGATTGATTCAAGGTGCAGCGAAGGCAAATTCAATTAAGACAGGAGGCGCTTACTTTTCCTAACGCTGAGTCATCCTATTCAAATTTAGCTATGCTAATGGAACAGGAAAAGTTTTCAGAGGATATCTACCCCACAGAGGACTGCTAGCAACTCCCAATTCCTTAGGCACGTGACACCCAATTTGCTTTGATTTGTTACTAAGCTTAAGGGTTGACTATGCAGATTAGCTTACAGCTTACACTGACCCATTTGATCACCACTACTTACAAACATCACGGTTACACAGTTCGACAGACCTTACCTCTAGTAATTTCAGTCGTATAACAACTTGGTTCATCATTTCCACAATTTACATCCATGGTTGCAAAAAAATTGAACTATTCAATTCAATCATATGAGCTCCAAAATCATTCATTATTGCAATTTGTAGGGTTGTGTCACGTCACAGCAAACCACATGCATGAAAGAAAATATAACAATTACAGAAAAACATGAAGTACCTTGATAAGTGTGTCGACCACATCAACAAAGCCTCTACATGATGCTGTGACAAGAGCGTGGACAGCTACATGAGAGCGAATCATGCTGGAGCCCATGAGAAGCTCAGCAAGCCTGCCTTGCCCCACATAGCTTGCTTCCAACAGAGCTTCCTCACACGCTGGCTGAATTGCCCCACCATTCACGAGTATCTCCAATATCTCAATATGGCTCTCCCTTACTGCTGCTGTCGTCGCATAGCCCCGGAACAGTTTTTGGTTCACATTAGCTCCAACACTCTGTCATCATAAAAATGTATAACCTCAAAAAAATTGTTTGGAATGGGTATTTTTTTTCATAAGATAATTTCAAGTTAATACACTGATCGCCAATTGAGAGAACAGTATGATGACAAAACATTAATTATGAGTGGAAATTCCCAACATAACATACTTTTAACATCAAGCTGAGAGAAAATTGGGAACTAATTTTTGAAATCCAACTTAAAGTTAAAAGGAGCTAAAATTCAACATATCAAAAAGTAAATAGATTTTCCAATCAATAACTGATTTTTCAAATTTCAAATTACTACCAATGAAAACCAACAGCCAATTAAGCTCCTAAAAAAAATTTGTGAAATAAATTCAGATTGAAAAAAGAAAAAAATAAGTTTCAGATTATAAACCAATAAATCCACAAACACAATCAAAGTGAAGATAAGAACTAATTTTGATTTTTCTCAAAGAATTTGAACTTAGCTTATCAAATGACTCCAAAGCCAAAACCATCTTCCTTCAGAGTATGCTTCTAGCGAAACAGAGTGATAATTCACTGGATTACTCACAATTGGATCTCAAAGAGAAAATTCATAAAGAAATTTGAATAGTAGAGAGAGAGAGAGAGATGAAAATACAAGAAATTTGAAGAACTGATAAAATAATCACAGGAAAAAAAGCCAGAAAAGCTCTCATTTGGACATCTCAGAGTATCAAATCGATGACAATATTTGAACAAAATGGGAAACAAACACAAAATTCAAACTCTATACCTTCTAAACAAACATAGATTATACACACACATATTGTCAAAACTACATAACAAGCTTTGTCTTCATAAAAACAAAAATTATACAAAAAAAAGAAAAAGAAATGCCAATTGATGACAATCTTCAAGCAAAATGCGAAAAAACACAAAATTCAAAGTCTATACGTTGTAAGGGCATCCCCAATCCTTCATCCTCTCTTTCATCAAATTTAAATTCAACAAAAAAAATACTCAAAAAAATCTCCAATTTTTCATTAAATGCTCATCAAATCAAGGAAGAGTCATTTTTCATCAAATTAAGAACTCATCAAATTTGAATTTCATGAAAATTTAAAAAGTCGAAGCATTCGAGATGATTTTCTTGTCTTCAAATTTTATCAATATATATATATATATATTTTAAATTTCCTCCTATCATAAATTTCATATGGGAATAGTACATATCAAATGAAAAAAATTGGTGAAGAATTAGAGATGTTCTAATTCCACACACACACACACACAAACGCACAAAAATGAGACAGATTATACATATAAACACACATTGTCAAAATTATATAACGAGCTTCGTATTCATCAAAAACAAAACAAAAACAATACCAATACCAATCGATGACAATTTTCGAACAAAATGAGAAACAAACACAAAATTTGAATTCTATACCTTCTAATTCAAAATAATAATAATAATAATAATAATAATAATAATAATAATAAATGACAGATTACATATCCATAATGAGCTTCGTCTTCATCAAAGAGAAAAAATTAAACAAAAACAATACCAGTAATTTCCTGAGGAGCGTCACATTTCCGGCATGAGCAGCGAGGAAGAGAGCGGTGACCTCAGTCCTAAACTCTTCAAACTCGAATCGAACTTCACTAGCGGACTCATCGCGTAACACGATCTCTGTTTTTCGAGTCTTGAAGCTCACGGTTCCGATGAAGTTGACATCGACGAAGGGGTCTGCAATGCATTCCATCGCAGAGTTGAGGTCGTCGGAATGTGCAGCGTCGATGAGCCGTTGCGAGACCTCCGCTTGGTAATCTACCGGAAGTACTTGCTTGCCACCGCCGATAAATCCCCCGCCAGTGTTCCCAAATAATGTCATTTTCTCTCTCTCTTTCTCTATGGAACTGTGATGGAGTGACATGGAATGGAAGGCATCAGGACTAAGCAGGAGAGAAAGAACCAGTTTTATTTGGTACAACAATGGTGACAAAATTTGCAACAATAAGGTCTTTTTATTTATTTATTTGTAGAAATTATATAATAATAGTTAAAAAAAAACTTAGAAATTGACTATTATAACAAAATAAATCTGAATTTTTAATTTTATTAATTTTAATTTTAATTTTAATATTTTGATTTATTTTTAATTTAAATAATTTACTTTTAATCAATGGAAAAAACAGATTTCATCCATTAAATTCAATGAAAAAAATATTTTAAACATTTTATATATTTTTATATTGAATTTAATGGGTAAAACATTATCTATCACTTAATGAAAATAAGTGAATGATTTAAATTAAAACCAAATCAAAATATTATGATTTAAATTGATAAAATTAAAAATTCATAATTTATCTTGGATTTTTTGAAAAATTGGTTAAAAGCTCACTTTTTATTTTTTAAATATATATATATATAAATATAAAAAGGTGATATGACTCAAAATAAATTAAAAATTAAAAAATAATTTTTTACTTTGTTAACTTATTTAAAATCTTTAAATATGTATGGACAAAATTCATTTGTCTTAATTATAATTTTTAATGTCATTTTAAATATTTGCACACAAAAAAATATGTGTGATCATTTATTTAACTTAACATAGTTCATTTTCTCACAAAATATCAAAAGTTGTATGAAACAAATTTATAACTTATTTTAATTCTTTTAAGGTGTTATCATTGTCAAAACTAATTCTTATGTAATTCCAAATGGGGCTAATATACATGTTCTTAGTTCTTTTTTTATTATTATTAATTTATTTTCTATGAGTAAACTTCTCCCAAATTTTAGATATTATTTTGTGATTAATGCATTATTTTAAAAATTCAAATTGTATATCTTATATCAAACAGTTCCGTTACGTAGCTCGAATTCTCATTGGCTCGAGTGGCCAGAATTATTTTTTTTCACTCAAATTTTGCTGCTGTGCTCTTTCTCTTCCCCCTTCTGTTCTCTCTCTCTCTCATCACTGTCTTTTTCCTTATTCTTCATCTTCTTCCTCTCTCTCTCTCTCTCTCTCTTATCACTGTCTTCAATCTTCTTCATCCTCTTTATCTTCTCTCATTCTCATCACAAACATACATACATATAGACTCAAATAAAATCAAATATATGTAAAGTAAGTTGAAAATTCTCCAAAATTAAGCATCAAAAATCTCAAACCAAACCCTATCCACAAATCCATCAGATGATGCAACCTTGCGCTCAATCTGCACCATCTACCCAATCTTCTCCTCCACCATCATTCTTTTCATTAGGTCATTAATTCTAACATTCAATGGTTGTTTTGGGTCTTTGTATTTTATATACTCTGCTTCTTCTGTAATACCAACCCACAAGCTTAATAACACCACAACAAACCCAATCATGATGGGTATTGAAAATTTCTCCATTTTGGTGTCTCAAATCAACTATCTCTCTGCCTTCAAATCAAAAAAATCATAGCGCAACCGCAGAGTCTGTAAGTTCAAATCACAGAGAAAGAGAGAGAGAATGATGTTCCGAGTAACAAGCCACTGAAGTCCATATCCGAAGAGACCCATTGAAGTCCAAATCTCCTTCTTCTCCTTCTTTCCTTCTTTTCACATTTTCTCATTTTCTTCTTCTTCTTCTTCTTCTTAAAAAAAAAAAAAAAAAAAAAAACTGCCCAAAACGACGTCATTTTAAACAGTCGAGCCATTCGGGCCAAAGACATTTCAAGCTACGAAACATTCCTCTATATCAAAATAGTGATGATATAATATTCAAAATTTAATACTTGACTTCAACATTAATCATTCACTTTTTCGCTATAGGCTACGTCTTTGACCTATCAAACAAAATAATAGAAACAAAAAATAGAGTAATTTTAAAGATGCTTAAAATATTATTCTTAAATCTATTCACACTATATGACAAGATATTAAGTGTTAATTTATAAATAAATTAATAATTTAGATAATGTTAGAGATATCAAATTTTTTACCAAATAAATAATAAAATAACTCACAAATGTATAGAATTTATAATTTTATGAATCCCACACTAATATAAAATATTTAATTATTTATTTAATAAAAAATTTGATACCAACAACATTTTTCTAAAAGCTCACCTGCAATCATTCATGTCATTGAAAGCAAATTAAAAATTAATATTTTTAAATATTTTTCTAAATGACAAATTATTTTTGACTGAGTCAAAAGTTTAAAGTTGATTTGTCTGCGAAACGGGCACTGTGTGATACTATACTATCTTACTTAAGTTTGGTTTGGTTTTAGATTTTTGGTTAAAAAAAAAGGCAAATTATAAACATTTCCCTCGAAGTTTAGTAAAAGTATAAATTTTTTTTTTTGAGATTTGAGAAATTACAAATTACTCCTTAAGGGTCAAATTTTCATAACAAATTAGGAAAAATTAAGAAAAATCTGTATAAAAATAAAAACCTCAGGAGATAATTTGTTATGAAAATAAAAACTTCAGAGGGCGGGATGTAATTTCTTAAACCTCATGGGGGAATTTATATTTTTACCAAACCTCGAGGGAGGTGTTTGTAATTTACCCTAAAAAAGTATAGAAAGATAAAATTAGTTACATTAATTAATAAAATAAAATATCATATTTAAATTATAATTATTATACTTTTTTTTCATAAAAGTCAAAAAAAAAAAGCCAAACTAAATGAGACTGAAAAAATCAAGTTAAAAAAATTCCAACACAAAAAATTAACTAAAAAAGACAATATGAAATGAAGACTTGTGACAATAAAATAATGTCATATAAACATAATTTAAATGTAGAAAATGTAAAAAATGATTTGACATTTATTTAATGAAAGCACATAATTATGATTTATAATTATTGTACAAGTTTATTATATAAAATAATGTGACATCAAACAAAAGGATTTATAATTATGACACATAATTTCAAAAATTCAGTTGTTGTATCATTTTTAATGTTTATTTTATTTTATTTTATTTTTTAAGTAACACTTTTGTTTATAGATCATTTTGCTCAAGCATTATGGAGCAATGCCTTACCACCCAAAAAAAATATATTATTAACAAGCAAAAAGACATGGAATTTAGGAGGCGCATATTCTCAAAACAAATAGAAGGCTCCACAATTATACAAAATAAATATAAGACTAATATGGAAAGCATTTTATAGGATGAAACCAAGTGCTATAAATGGCCAAATTTATAATCAATGTGTTTGGATTGAGTTTTTTAAATTAAATTTTTTGAAAATTAAGTTTTTTATTTTTTGTTTTTAGTGAATATTTTTAAAATTTAAATTTTTTTTTTTTTTTTTTTTAGATTCATCTTGCTTAGATGTGTTTAAAAAGTAAAATATTTGTGAAAAAATATTTTAAAAAATTAATAAATACACAAAAATAAGAAAAATGTACTAAATTTTTGTATTTTTTTTTTTGTATTTTTGGTATTTAGTGAACTTTTCAAAGATTTTTTTCACAAAAATTATACTTTTTAAGTGTATTTATGTTAGGTGTGTCTAAAAATTAAAATAATTGCTTAAAATATTAAAAAAATTCAGTAAAAATAAAAAAAAAATACGAAAAACAAAAAAGAAGAATTTTTTAAAAAATGTTTTTAGAAAACTCAAACCAAGGTATTTTTCTTGACTACAAATTATGTCCTTCATACTACTTGACTTTTTAATTTATTTATTTATTTATTTATTTTTGACAAGTAGGTTGTTAAGATGTTTGTAAATTAAATTAGTACAACTCAATGTTGAATATATCATTATATACTTAAAACTATGACCTCTTCATTAAGACTTAGGTGATCATGCAAGAGTTACAATTTAATCACAATGTTTTTGGTGGATTTAAGAAATTACTTATAGTTTTTTTTTTTATAATAATTTGTGTCAATGTGTTTTATGCAGCTTTTATTTACAAGTTATGAGATACAAATAAATTAAATCTTGATCCCATTTTGAGAAATGGTGATCCATTTTGTCCTAAAGATTTTTTTTTTATAGACTAATCAGTCCTATTAATTTTAGAAAAGTAGATTTAATATATTATTTGAAAATTGAATTTATGGTTATACCCTTATTTCTATTATGTTTTATTTTATTTTGTTCTTTTGTGCTAGAAAGGTAAGGTACACAATATATGATAATCAAATTTGGGATAAATTTTTATATCAGAATTCTGTTTATTTAGAAAACATTTTAAAATGTGTACAAAAATGACTTGAAGTTCTTTAAATATTTCAAAAAGAGTACAAAAATTCCTTAGTTAGTTTTGTACAAATGTATAATTTCAAACTGTAACACTCTAATGTGAAACGCAAACGTAACATTCTAATGTAATACTCCAAAAAAATTATTAGTGTATTTTTCTCAAATATAACACTCCAATATAACACTTCAAAAAAACTCCTTAGTATAACACTCTAATGTAACATAAAAAAAAATTCCTTAGTGTATTTTTTCCAAATGTAACACTTCAATATAACACTCTAGAAAAACTTCATAGTGTAACACTCTAATATAACACACAAAAAAACTCTTTAGTGTAACACTCTAATGTAACACTCTAATGTAACACACAAAAAAAAATTTCTTTGTGTATTTTTCTCAAACGTAATACTCAAATATAACATTTAAAAAAACTCTTTAGCGTAACACCTTAATATAACACCATAAAAAAAAAAAAAAATCCTTAATGTAGTTTTCTCAAACGTAACACTCTAATGTAACACTCTAAAAAACGGATGTAAGATTCTCGAAACCATTCCAAAAGGATGTGAGATTCTTCAAGTCATTCCAAAAGGAGTACAAAAACTTCTTAGTAAGTTTTGGACAAATGTATAATTTCAAACTGTGAGTATTACGTTTGGAAGAAGTACATTAATATAACATTTCAAAAAAATTTCTTAGCGTAACACTTTAATGT